CATAAATGGTTCTTTGCATTGTTAAATGGTTCTTGACCTGTTGTATATGGTTCTTTAAAGAATATACAGCATCCAAAAGCCTTCACAGGACCTTTTTGGTGCTATATTAAATCCTTTTTGCTAAGAGTGAGAGTGTATGCAGGAGAGTGTATAGGATTGAGAGTGTATGCAGGCCTTTTACTATATTCAGAATTGGTTTATTTACATCAACATGTACAGTATATATTATTTGGCCCTTGGCTATGCAGCCAACACTTGTATTGCACGCCCCTGCATGCCTACATGTAATTTCTCAGAATCACCCATGGTCTGTAATTGAATTTTTATCAGGTATATGTATGTATTTACTCCTCATGTGGGACTGTAGCACATTGCATGCACATGTAACCAGAAATACCCACGCTATTTTGGAATATATATAATAGGTGACCACAGGCCGCCTAAGGAGGGTCCTCTAGAAACCTTCCCCAAGGTTTTAGCATAAATGTGACTTGTAATTTGGCATTTGGGAAAAGAGTAAAAATGTAGAATCTCTCTCTCTCTAGATATCTCTTTTGGGCGTAGCATATTTTAGATCTTAATAACAGGCTGCCTGAAAGTTCATACTAGCTTTCCAATTAGAATGTGTGCATGCTACCCTTGTACATGTAATTTCTCAAGCAACATTTTTCTTTCATTTACAGTATGTAAAAATGCAACCTAAGTGGCAACTTTCCAAGTTTAGCTTTTACCTAATTATATCCTGCTTAATTTGAGTGTGTATGTTTTTATAGCTCCGTCAGATCCATATCTTCTCACAGGAAAACATAGTATATTTGAGCCTCCAGATGGGCTTGGAAGAGGACAAAAAGCCAGGGTTAGACTTCTATGAACATCCTGACTGAGCAAGGAAAAAATGTTAAGATTGTCATTGCTGAGATTATGGTCAGTAGCCTAGTTTTATTTGGCCAGTTTAGTTCATTAGCACATAGCACTTGCACAATACCACTCCGGTCTTTTAGATACTGAGACCAATACTGAAACTTCAAGTACTGAAACCTGCCTGATACTGATACAATTTTTTAATTGAAGCACTTCACTTAAGATTAAAAATACTTGATAAAAAAAATGCCATGTAAAAATAACTGCAGGAAGAAATACACAATAATTCTAGTAAAGTACCCTGTTATGTCTGGTTGTTCTTAAGGTTTGGGTATATGTGGCAGCTGTTGTTATCACATGATCTACTTCACTTTATGTTATAATATGGAACAAGCAAATCTGATATTTCATGATCTGATCTTTCTTAACTGATTTTTCAATCTAACCCAGTGTTTTCTGCTGCCATTTCTGTTAGCTCAACCTGATTTTGACCCTTACGAGGCAAAAAATAAAAACAAAAAACAAAAAAAACAGTAGTAGTAGTATAAGAAACTATAAGATTTCTGGGGCTCCAGAGTAGGGTCACAGTCAGGAGCGTACCTATGTTCCCAGGGCCCAATGTTTCCAAGATCTTTTGCTCCCAGGGCCTGTGTTCCCAGGGCCCAATGCTCCCAGGGCCTATGTTCCCAGAATCCTATGTTCATAGGGTCTTATGTCCCCAGAATATGGAAGGACTTTACTGAAGATCTTTCAAGGAAACATAGGGCCATTGGAACTCAGAGCTGCTTGGACATTTCTGTAAGCAAATAAAGCACCTTGGGAACGATTCTACAGCCACCTATGCCTGGGAGCCCAACGCAGCATAATTCGCCTCACTCTTTCTGGGTCTTTCCTCTCTCTCAATCACTCAGTGTGATACCAGCCAATACAGACATCTGTTACAGTAACAGCATTTCTTCTCCAAGCACGTTGAGCTATCTAATGATAATTTCACTTTTTGTGTCTCAGAGAAAGCATGCGCTAGCCTTCACCCTCCCAGCTTGGAAGTATCACATAATAAGGAAGACCTAGCTAGTGGGTAAAATTGGCAATAACTAGAATGGGAAGAAAATTTAAAAAAACATAGAAAAAAAAAAATGAACTGCAGAATTTCTATAGTGCCGTATAGTGCTTCAATAATATTCTAGAAAGCTTTGAACTCATATTCCTGAAATACATCTTTATAGTAGTCTGTATTTGTCTTGTAATAGACTAAAATAATTGTCTAAATTTACTATAATATGCTCGTAGAAAGCCTGTAATATTACTATAAATCTTTTTTTTTTTTTAAAGAGACAAAGTCTCAGTTCTCATCAGCTCTCACACTGCGCTGTGGTCAGACTTCTCAGATCACAGTTGAAAATGTGTCTTCCTTAATATTTACAACTATTACCGCCTACTTTTAAGAGTCGCTACCACCTTCTTATTTTCCAAATGACAGGGTTAAACGCTTGGGTGCTTGTCAGAAGTTGAAGCCAGGTTTGGCACTTCAAACAGCACACAGGCAAGTGGCAAACCTCAAGAAGGGCCCACTCTTTTGTTTATTGCTGAAGGTGACACATGTCATCTGTGGTGAGTGTGTGTGGTTGCTGATGGCATGTGTTTTAGTTCTTAGATGCTTCCAGACCCGCTTATCATAACAGATCAAGATTTTTGCAAGTTGTACCTTGCACATTTAATCGAAACTAACACATCGAGTCAGTGCCCGTTTGGTTGGGGAAGTCACGTAAAAACACAAATAACTGTGTATGCTTGAGTTATGATGTTAAATGTAATTGTGCTTCCATTGTGTCATAAAACAACCCTATTTCCAAAACTGTTAGGACACTGTGCAAAATGTAAATAAAAACAGAATGTAATGATGTGCAAACTCTATTTTTAATTGAAAATAGTACAACATATCAAATGTTGAAATAGAAATTTTACTGTTTTTTATAATATATAACTATTTTGAATTTGATGCCAGCAACAACAATATTTCAAAAAAGTTTTGCAAAAGGGGCAACAAGACTGATAAAGTTGTGTATAAAACACCTGGTGGAGCATTATTTAGTTCATTGGCACCAGGTCAGTAACATGATTGGGTATAAAAAGAGCATCACAGAGAGGCTGAGTCTTTCAGAAGTAAAGATGAGTTCACCAAATCCCTGTATGCAAGGGACAAGGCCAAAAACCAGTATTGGATAGCCATAATCTTCGGTCCCTCAGGCAGCATTTCATTAAAAACAGACACAGTTCTGTACTGGAAATAACTGCATGGGCTCAAGAACACTTCTGAAAACCACTGTCTATGAAAACAGTTTGTTGCTGCATCCACAAATGCAAGTTAAGACTCTACTATGCAAAGAAGGGACCATATATTAACAGGATCCAGAAAAGCTGTCGCGTTCTCTGGGCCCGAACTCACATAAGAAGGACTGAGGCAAAGTGGAAAAGTGTCCTGTAGTCCAATGAATCAAAATTTGAAATTCTTTTTGGAAATCATGTCCTGTCTTCTGGGCTAAAGAGGATGGGATGGCATCCCATCAGCACATCTGTGAAGGCACTATTAATGCTGAACGATATATATACAGTTTTCGGAGCGACACATGCTGCCATCCAGACGTCATCTTTTTTAGGGAAGGCCTTGCTTATTTCAGCAAGACAATGCCAAACCACATTCTGCACATATTACAACAGCATGGCTCCATAGTAGAAGAGTCCAGGTGCTAAACTGACCTGCCTGCAGTCCAGACTTGTCACCCATTGAAAACATTTGTCGCATTATGAAATGAAAAATATGACAAAGGAGACCCCACACTGCTGAGCAGCTGAAATCCTATATCAAGAATCTCACTTTCAAATATAGCAGTTGGTCTTCATAGTTCCCAAACACTTAGACTTAGTGTTGTTAAAAGAAGAGGTGATGAAACACAGTGGTAAATATGCTCCTGTCCAAACTTTTTTGAAATGTGTTGCTGCCATCAAATTCAAAATGGGCATATATTTTTCAAAAAACAAACATAAAAAAACAAACATAAAATATTTTCAGTTTCAACGTTTGATATGTTGTCTTTGTACTGTTTTCAATTAAATATAGTGTTTAAATGATTAGCACATCATTACATTCTATTTTTATTTACATTTTGCACAGTGTTCCAACTTTTTTGGGAATGGCGTTGTATATGCATAAGCTTCTTAAGGTATTTTGAGAATGTATTTGCTGCAAAGGAGAACTGAAAAAAAGAGAGACAGCTAGAACTCCAAAGAATCTCATGAATACTAGTGGTTTGTTGTAGACAGCACTTCATCATTTTACTCTGGTGGTAAAAAGACACAAAATGACCCTCCCTGAAACCCAAAAGGAATATTAAAAGAAACTGCTTAAGCAAATATGCTAACACAGCTAGCAGTGAGGCAGATAATTAGCATGTGAGGCCAATTTGCATGTAGTCATTTGTGTAATGCTAACTGGTATCATATCTTTAAGTAGTATATTTGTAGTATATAGAACAGAAATTCCACCAATTTCTTACAATTTCTGCAGAATTCAGTTGTTGAAATGTAAACAGAGTGATTCAGACCGTTTTCATGTGAAATGGCTCACTGTGGGCAAACTTGCTGAATTTGATTTTTTTTATAGCGGTGGTGATAGGATCCAGGGTTTGCAATATCTAGTTTATTTACTATCCAAAGCCAGTACCATCTAGTGACTACATGTAGCTTCAATTTAATACCTTTCTATGATGTAGCTTTTTAAGGCATTAAACTCTTCCAATGTCTGGTTTCCGTCACCACCACTGTGAGCAATTCTGACTAGGTAGGTTTCTCTAGAACAGGGCATTTCACATCAGACCTCTCTGAATGGCTTTGTTTATGTCTTAACAAGTAAATAATGCAGATATTTTGCAAAATCTGGAATTTCCGTCTGTTGTGGCTAACAGTATTAGCCAATATGACTACTGTCTGTCTTAGTCAACCAAATGCTCAGCATTTTCTGTTCCTCCTTCAACAAGATGTTGAAATCAGGTTGTTTGGTCTATGTTCCCTTTGTCCCTGTATGAAGATCAATAAGTCATGGATTTGATTTTTTTATAGAAAGTTTATGTTTTTTACCACAGGGTGAAAAAGGGGATGCTGGTTTTCCTGGAGCAGATGGACAGAACGGGATTCCAGTAAGTTGATGCTTCGGTTATTTTTCTTCTTAACAACTTAGGCCAGTAATAGCAATCATCATTATTGTCATCATCATTACCATCTCATCAACCAGGCTATCGTTTTCTTTTTATCCCTTTTTCTCCAAAGTCCTTATTACTATTTTCATTTCAGAACAACATACATTAGAACCATGCCTGAAGCCATGTGAGCATCATTAAAGTCTTTTAAGTTGCTGTAGTTCCTCTGTTTGACATTATTCCACTCCAAATATGGAGACAGTGTGGCCACAGTGTTTACTGTCTCCCAGAATGGACAGCTTGGTGGCAGAGCAGTACTTCTGCAGACACATGAGGAAACTGAGTGCCTTTAGACCTCATGACAAACTCAGGTCACATGCTATTAATCAGCTTTCAGCAACCTCTACGGTTACCACATAAATACGCAAGATGATCCGCAAGATTTTAAACAGATTAATGACATTAACAACACAGCTGGCTGAGGTGACCCAAGCCAAAATCAGCTTGCATCAGAGAGCAAGACCTAACCTCACTTGTTTATCATAGAAGTTAGCACCTTTTAAAGCAAGATGAAAAAAACATGAAAGGAAATTTGCAAAAAAGGCATATGTCAGCGAGATTTGCATTCGCGAACCTCCTATTTACAATCAGGTGTGGTTTCACTATGAATATAAAGTGTTGAGCCCTTATACTGATGGCTTATTATTCAGTTACCGATCATAAGACTTAATAGTGAAGTACAATGATCCAGTCTCTCCTAATTATTTAGTGAGTTAGATATGTCACTTGAGAAGTCCAGCGATGAAAGTCATCCATCTGATGCCTGTCAATACTAATCTAGAGTTCACCTGTTGGGTTTTAGTTACTTAGGCCTACACTCTTAAAAATGGTTCTGAAAGGGTTCTTTAGTAAAGGGAATGGTTCTATTTAAAACCATGTGTTCTGTATAGAATCATTTCAGGCTTAAATGGTACTTTGCATGGTGAAATAGTTCTTCAGATTGATGGAGAATGTGTTGTATATAGTTCTATATGGCACCAAAAAGGGTTCTGCTATTGTTACGAATTTTACATCGTAATAATACAAGAATCCTTTTTGGTGCTGTATAGAACCATTTTTAAAAAACATTCTATGTAGAATACATAGAATATGCAACACATTTGAGGAACCATTTCATCATGCAAAGAACCATACCCATAAAATTGTTCTATATAGAACTCTTGGTTTTATATAGAACCATTCCCTTTTACTAAAGAACTCTTAAAGAATCATCTTTTTTAAGAGTGTACCTGCTAGATAAGAGAGTTTAGTAATTCCTTACAGGGGAGTAAGGAAGGAGTTTTCGAAAAAGAATCCATCATTGTAAACATACAGTTGCACTGAATTTAAAGTGGCAGTACATTTAAAGTGGCAGCGATTTTAAGGTGGCAGTAGATTTAGAGAGGAAAGAATTTAAGCTGGTAGTGAATTTAAGTTATCAGGAAATTTAGGGTGGCAGTGGATTTAAGATATCAGTAAATTTAAGGTGACAGTGAATTTAAGGTATAGGTAGCAATGAATTTGCATTAGATTTAAGGTATCAGCATTAAGTGAGCAGTGGTTTTAAGGCAGCAGTGTATTTAAGGTATCAACAGAGGTAGCAGGGGATTTAGGTTGCAGTGAATTTAAGGTGGCAGTAGATTTAAGGTAGCAATGAATTTAAGGTAGCAGTGAACTTAAGGTGTAAACAAAGTCATTTGGAGTTGTTTGATGTGAAATTGTGCTTTGTAGAGAAACTTAACGGCTTCTTTACAATGTTAGTAATAGGAATGGCAATTTGCTTTACAAAGGTCTGCATGTACCTCTCTGAGAACAGATTTAAAAAAAAAAAAAAATACAGTTTATGCCAAAATCGAATCTCTAAACTATCATTAAAAATGTCTCAGGCGTCAGGCAGTGTATTCATATCCATTTCGAGTAATAATTTTCTGTAAGTTAGCTTTTAGAGGCATTAATCTCTTCAGATGTCTGTTTCTCATCACCACCACATGCTGACAAAGCTTCTCTAGAACAGCACATTGCACATCAAACCACACTGAATGGCTTACGTCTTAACCATTTTATTGTTCAAGAATTTCAGTGGAATTCCCTTTTACACCGCAGACGTCTTATTCAGCTGTTGATCTTATTATACAGTAAGTACTACGAATAAATTGAAAATAGTATGTGAGCTATATACGTTATATAGTCATGAGAGTAAGGAGCTGAAGTGCCCTTGCAGTTTTAGGGTTAAGTCCTCTTAGCTGCGTTCAACGTTTATTCATTCTGGCAGCAGGCTCTTGCGGAGAGCTGTTGGCTGGAGAGAGATTTTTGCTTCTCGTTGAAAGCTGTTAGCCTATATGGAATCTTTTAGGTAGATGCCTAGATGACTGCTTTGTGTCGTGCTTCTGGGCACTATTTTAAGTATGTCTTTGTGATTAATCTGGTGGTTAATACAGACTCTGCTGTGGTGAACCTCTGGACATTCTATCCCTTTTGCATGTGGACCTTTACTGGGCCAAAACAAATCTCAGCAGGTGAAGACAGATATTTCTAGAAGCTAATTCTGAAATGTCAATAAATGTGCCCTACCTCGCCCACCTCAGGCCACCAAGTCCATCTGTGCCCCCTTTCTCTCAACCACGACTCTTTCACTGCTTAGCCAAAAGAAGTTGAAGTCATAGGCAAAGTAACATATTGCAGTTTTCTGCATACTGCAGCATGCTTTGCTATATAATTCTTGATGTGACAATTCTGTGATGGTTAAACACTGGCCTGCATTAGTTTGACCAAAATTACTCATGTTTATTAGATCTCGTGAATGTGGAACATCTGGGACTTGTCAACATGTTCATGGAACACAATCCAATGCTAGAGTTTTTTTTTTTTTTCCTACACATTTATTTTCAAGATCCACTATTGACATTAATAAGTTAATTTATAGACAGTTAAGTTATATAAGAAGAATTCATCTTTTACTACAGTATAGAAAATAATATAAGAATGCTGTTAATAGCACCTTAAACCAAACCTAAATAATGTTTGGTCTTTCAAATGTATGAATAATAGTGTTGCATTTAATTATTGCTTAGCTGGAAGAAAGGTAGGAATTTTTCTGTGAACCTCCAGAAGAGGGAGCTCTCTTAGGTTTCCTTGTTAATAAAAGGACAAAGATGCTTCAGTTTCATGTGTTTTATGATGTCCTATTGAGGGGTAACTCAGCAGAGGTATCAAGAAATTCTCTGATAAGTCTACCGTGGTTTGGACACTAGAAGACTAGAGATAAGTTAGAAGCTGCTCCTCTGGCACAAGCCAGCTCGTCTCTGCTACGCACTGCAATATCACACTGTTGTATCAATGAGCGGATCTGTGCAAGATTTGGTATCTGAGTTTAGTGCATGTTTACATTTGGGTTGGGTTAGATTGGGTATTCAATTTTCGCTACACACTTAAAAAAGATTGTTCTTCAAGGGTTCTTTAGTAAAGGCAATGGTTCTATTTTGAACCATGAGTACTCTATAGTACCATTTTCATGCTAAATGGTTCTACAAGGTGTAATGAGTCTTCAGATTGATGAAGTTGTATATGGCACTATATAGGACACTTTTGAAAATGGTTCTATATGATACCGAAAAGGGTTCTTCTATTTATACAAGCTTGACATCATAACAATAGCAGAACCCTTTTTGGTCCTACATAGAACTATTTTCAAAAAGGTTCTATATAAAACAATGTACAACACATTCTCTGTCAATCTGAAAAACTATTTCACCATTTAGCATGCAGATGGTTCTATGTAGAACTCATGGGTCTAATAGAACCATTGGCTTTTCTAAAGAAGAACCATCTTTTTCATCTGTATAACACAGAGAACCCTGAATGCTAGGAAGCAAATGTTCCTGCAGTACATGCCAGATACATTCGTGTTGGTAAATGACTTAAATCTGTCATTAATGTGAACAAACATGCGTCCTGAAACAACCAGCATGCATGAGTCCTAATCAATAATGTCACATGAATGAACCACGAAAACAACAAGCTAATCCAGTGGAACAAGGCAGAGACAACTGCAAAAACAGCTCTCTTCTGTTTATTATTTGTGTAAGACAAAGACAAAAAACAGTCAGATCCATTGCTTTTGCACTGATTACTTGCACTGAGTTCAGGTTAGGCACTGCCGCCACGTTAACGCTGAATGATGGCGCATGCACAGTGAAAAAAAACAACACAAATTCCAATCTGAGCACTCTCATTAAAGTCGTGTGGCCATGAATCAGAAATGTATCCGGTATGAAATCACATATGAAGTGGATCTGACTTGTATGTTCACACAGCTCTGCAAAACTCACATTAATGCAAAAAAATCAGATTAGAGCCACTTCTGTCTGGTAATGTGAGCACAGACCTAATGTCTGAATCTCGTCCAAGCTGGACGGCACATGCGCTTGCCTGGGTGCCCCGTTGTGTCATCATTCTGTACTCAGCATCATGCCCATATTAGGAAATCAGGACAGTTTTCCTCTGAACGTTTTCAGATCCTCCGAATTATGAGGTTTTCAGGAGCCTAAATACGACTATTGTGTCCTTTCAGTAAACAGGACTGCTGGCTTGCTTGTAGCATGTAAGAAGCATTGTTTGTATTTTGACTGCTAACAGCCTTGTAGTCATAGAGAAATCTGCTTAAACCCAGAGTTCCTAATACGGGCATGACACTGACTACAGAATGACGCAAAACTTCAGATTTCCTTTGTAGGGGAAGTGCTGCAATAAGATGTTTGGTAAGACTCCTTTGCATTATTTGTCTTCTGCAATATCAGTATTGCAAATGTTGCCATAATGATTAGCAAACAGCATATTGCTTATACAGTGATATTGTGTCGTCTGTCACAGGCCGTGCTACAGAACTTGGGAGCTGTGGCTATGCAAAGCGGCTTTTGAGGGGCTCCATGCTCCCATGTTTGGAAAGATACTGATGTTGCTGTTGTTGTTGTTATTAGTGTAGTTGTGTTGTTTGGAGTACTTGTGAAACGAGGAGAATTGATTTACAGTGTGTTGAAATGTCCACCCACCATGGATGTTGTGTCGTCTTGCATTACCTCTCCCTGGGTTTCGTGTTGGTCTAGTGCTGGTCTCGGCATTTCTTGCTGCCTGTTGAAAATATAAGACCATTCGATTGATACACTATGTTTTCTGCGTCTTCTGCTACACCGACACCACAATATACAACTGTGTACATGCCCAGCTCCCACCCACCAACATGCACATACACACCCTCCTCATTTGGATCCGGCACCAGCTAACAGAAATACTGGACTGAGGAAATTTTCTACTTGATTGTTGAAGACTCCTGCACTCATTCACTTGGGTGGTGCTTCCTGTTTATGATAAACAAAGCTGGTTCATTTGAAAGAAAAATCTTTAGCAATCGAGTGTTCCTAACACTGTTAGGGTGGGGGAGCTTTTTGAAGGTAACGCAGCTTGAACAGCTAATGTGGTGCTTAAAATTTTCTCCCTCTCTCCTCGATCTTTAATCATGCGTCCCTCGTGTGCAATTACCGTTCTAATGAGGGAGTGCTCCAGTAGATGAAACAAATAACAAGCCTGGGAGGAAACACTGAACACCCAGAAACCTTTTCATAGTCAGAAAACATAAAGACGTTCGCTGTTGTTTTAGTGTTTTGCATCTGATTGTGTTTGTGTTTGCTCTAAGCTGTAGTGAGAACTTGATGTTATGGTGGTCTGTGTGTTTTTCAGGGCATCAAAGGATTTCCAGGAGAAACAGGGCCTGTTGGACCCAAGGTAAGAGCTCACAGGGACCATCATAACACTGCTAGTCAGAGTCATAACTACAGTACGGGCAAGGCAGGCAACTTCCCCGGGTCCTGAAGGTTGCTCAGTGAAAGGACATCATTTTATAGGCAACTGAATTTTCTACACTTTTTTATGAAATAGTAGAGTTGTATTTAATATGCAGACATAGTTACATATTAAGTTTTAAAATGTACCATTCAGGCCCCAATCCTTATATGGATATTAAGCAGAAAAAAAAAGATTAAAACATTTTCAATTCATTATTTTTGTGATGTCATGAAAAAACAGTACATTTTCATACAGTAGTGTGTAAAAAAATCATGTTTTGCTGATTTTCTAAGTGAAAATAAGTTAACATCTCTACAGAGAACACACGTCTGCACTTTTTAATGCACAGTTACTGTTTATTTGCTGAATTTACCATATTGGGGAAAAAAATCATAAAATGACACCATTACAAAAGCTTATCAAATATGTTAAATTCAGCATATAAATAAAATTGTGCTCTAAAATTTGCAGAATACTGTCATATTTAACTTTGTTCATTGTAGAGGATGCCTTAACTTATTTTCACTTAGAAAATGAACAAAACTGGTTATTTGACCAGGGCTGTATAGATACCTGTTTGGCTTATAGCAGTTTAACCCCACCCCTTGACACTGAAGTAATAAGGAGTGACTGAGCAGATTTTTTATTTGTTTATTTATTTTTTGGTCAAAAGTGGACCTCAGGAAAAAACTGAATAATGTAAAAGCCAACCCAACGAGGGGTTTGTGGTTCCAGTAAGTTGACACCTGGTTTACATCTTGTTCACATGTCCATGATTTATGTGAATTTATCTAGCTGACAGAATATAAATTCTTTTTCTGTGGAATATGGAAGTTATTTTTTTACCTGAAAATGTATTAAGTTCAATAAATTGTGTCACGTCACCAAGTCAGTGTCACTGTAGTGCTGAGAATGACCCACCACCCAAATAATATCTGTTCTGTGGTGGTCCTGACCATTGAAGGACAGGGTAAAAGGTATGCATAACAAAGTATGCAGAGAAACAGATGGACTACAGTCTGTAGTCCATACAGTCTGTAGTATGAATTTAATGAAGTGGCCTGTGTATATATTGGTCAGAAAGACCCCATGCATTTTTTTTGCATGGTGCCAGCACAGTTTGTAGAAGCCTAATTAAAATATATATACACCGATTAGGTATAACATTATGACCACCTCCTTGTTTCTACACTCATTGTCCATTTTATCAGCTCCTCTTACTATATAGGTGCACTTTGTAGTTCTACAGTTACAGACTGTAGTCCATCTGTTTCTCTGCATACTTTGTTAGCCCCCTTTTGCCCTGTTCTTCAGTGGTCAGGACCCCCATGGAGAGCAGGTACTATTTGGGTGGTGGATCATTCTCAGCACTGCAGTAACACTGACGTGGTGGTGGTGTGTTAGTGTGTTTTGTGCTGGTACGAGTGGATCAGACACAGCAATGCTGCTGGAGTTTTGGAGAAACAAGGATGTTGTTATGCCTGATCGGTGTAAAATGAATGTTGGTTAGGGAAACAATAGTCGGTCAGAAGTGCCCCATGCATATTTTTTCACCTTGGGCCTCCACAGAATCTAGGCTGTTAAACTCAACATAAGCATGCTGTGTAAACGCTGTGTTGCTGTTTGTAAACTGTAACAGGGCGAGAGAGGCCTACCAGGACCAACAGGCTCGATTGGACCGACAGGACCTCAGGTATGTAGAAAAGAGAATGACACTACACTTACTTCATCCAATACTAATGAATGATGTTTCTAGATCTCACGATTTAGTCTGTCATCAGTACAGGAGCTCACTGATACAGAACCGTCCCTTCCTGTGGAGAGTAGTTCGAACCACCATCTGCCACACTTGCTCCAGATAGTCCTTGATTCGTTGATCAGAGGTATTAGTGTAGGTATGGGGAGGGGGCAGTGTGTTAGATGCAGGTGGTTATCTAGGAGGGTTAGTGACCACTCTCCTAAAGGCACAGTGCTGCTCCCTGCTGGTGTGTTTTGGTATTGCATCTAAACTAGCAACTAGTATCTAACAGTCTGCTGAATTCTAATTATGGAAGCAATGAGAAAAAGGTTGATGCAGACTTGATTTATTATTGTGATATATTATTAGTGTAAGTTTAGTGTAGATGAGATGAGGAAAGAGAAAGTGGTTTATCCCTATAAGACCCTTGAGCAAAAACAAAAATGAAGGCAAATATTTTTCTTACCACAAGCTCTTCTTCTAAACCACAACCTAGCTTCTTCTAAATTTGTTTCATTTTCCTATTGACTACCTCTCTTGTCAGCTTCTTTGTTTCCACTTCCTGTGATAACACTTAAAAAAATGCCCTTTTGAAGTGCTTTAAAAAAATGAACTGCCCTGTGCTAATCATCATACATCACAACATGTGTATACAGCTTGTATTTATTTTGTTTTAAATGGTTTGGTAGGACATATGCATTGATTTAATATGTAACATCTAGTCAATTTCTTCATTTCAGGGACCACCAGGACCAGTTGGACCACCTGGGGCAGAGGGTCCAGTCGGTCCAAAGGTAAAAAATCATTGGTCTGAATGTATGCATATGTAAATATGGATGTGTGTATGTTGTAATGTACATAACGAAAAATATATCATCAAAAGAGAACTTTGGTCACTTTTTATTTTTATAGTTTAAGGTGGAACAAAGGATGCAAGAACTCAGGGTCTTTGGGTTCAGCCTGTATTGTAATTATTAAAATTACATTCTGTGACATTTTTATTGGCACCCAAGGACTTTTTTTAGGAGTTAGAACTCTGGGGTACACTGCTTCCAATGGGGGAGCCTAGGCCTACCTGTAGCGACATCCCAATTAACTAAATAGCAAACCTCATCAATGTAAGATTAATGTGCATGTAGACATGTATATTTAATTCCAAGTACTTTTGGACAATTTCTATTGGGCAGTTCATCATGAAACATTCACATAACTTAAAGGACAGCTGAAGTATTTAAAAGATGTGAGGAAAAAAAAGCAAAACAAAACAGAGTAACACTGTTTTAATATGACAGTGATAATACTTAGGACTGGATATGTGTAGTTTCCTGTGTATGTAATTAAGAGATTGGTGTATAATAAACAGGTTTGAATGCTTTGGCAACACTATACATGAATATGTAAATAAGTAAATAAATGTAAATATTCTTTTAAATTGAGTTTGAGGGAGATTCTGTTCCACCTATATTTATCTGACCTACTTTTTGTCTTCCTTTGAGTGTTGATATGAAGTTCAGAATTGTTTTTTTTTCCTTGCAGGGGAACTTTGGGGCTCGAGGGCAGGACGGCCTCCCAGGAGCACCTGGCCCTAAAGTGAGTACACCGCCAGTTGTTGACAAAACTTGGGGTTTTTCCCGTACTAAAGGTGAGAAAATGAACATTTCCTCTCTATCGCCTTCATCCTCCTCCTCGAAGCTTAGGAAATGACTTTAAATAGAGATTACATCTCTGCATTATCGCAATAAACCTAAAGTTCACTTAAAACCATGTTTCCTTCAAAGTTCATTTGGCTTGGAGCCAGTGGAACATACCCAGTGCTGTGTGTTAAGTTCTACTTTGTGGAACATTGTAATGTTTTTAATGTCAACTACCAATTGTTAAGAACTGACAGATTTGCTGCGTCTGCCAGGATGCTTTTTTTCCACTCAAGAACGGTTCTTTCAAGAATTGTCGCCGTTCTAAAAATGTGGCGACTTCCTTTTTCAGCTGAAATTGATGTCATATCTGATTATCATTTTCTTATTATGAGAACAGCTCATATAGCTCCTTAACACCCTCATGTTTGTTCCTAAAACATGGCTATGGTTGCAAGGGCATTTAAAATTGGGTTGTGTTATAGTAAAGAGGAAACATTGTTTACCCCTTGTCACATTTTGTGGTGGGTTTTGTGAGTGGGTCAGAGGCTTTATAGTACAGTGCCTGTCAGATGTGTGAACACTTATTCGTAGATGTTTTTTTCTTTAGTTTTACTATTTAATGTTGTGGCAAATCATGACTATCATCATAAATGAAAAAAAAAAAACTAGTTCAAAAATCAGGGAAAAACACCTTTGCAATAATGCTAATTTCTAAACTAACAGCGATTCACACGAACCGCGGACGTGGCTGTCGCAAGTTAAACATGGACATTTGAAGCTTATAAAAGACGTTCCATGTTTTATGTGAAGCTTGTATCAGACATTTACAAACAGTCATATGCCAAAGTTTGGGAACGCCTTTTCAAAAGACGTTTTGTTGACTTTCTAAATGAAAATAAGTTACCACATGAAGTGGCCTGTGGCCTGTGGGTCATTCCATACCAACTCAGCTAGCTCCCCCCCAGTTCATGTTGTGGATTTTCTTGAAAAAATCATGTGAAAACATCTATTAAACTCATTGGTCCTATAGCTCTAGTTTTTAGTTATGAATTTTTGAAGTTTGGCCCTTTTCATCATTGTTTGCAATTCTTTGTATGTGCACTCTGAGCCTCACCAGTTTTTTATTTTTTTTTATTTTTTTTGCTGGATTGGGTTGAAATTTGTAATTAACATCCAAGAAATACTAAGGCTAATTTGCATAATTTATGTAAATAGTAAATTTGTATGTACAGGGAGATTCACTCGAAAGAGGCCCCGAATATTCTGTAATTACTCTCACTAGGACGAAGCAATCTGAATGAAACAACATGCAATCTGTTGCTCAGTATACAGAGCTTCAAACAAGCTGGAATACCCCTGAGTCGGAGCAATGAGGTAGGCGTTGTACAGCCGTTGCGACGTTTAACCTCTCTAATGCTTGCCGATACGTTTCTCAGGAACATGGGGTGCCACGTCGAAATGTGTCTGCTCCTTTTCTGCTCCTTTTCTACATATCACTTCCAGCATGGTATGTAATGCAGTCGATTACACATACGTCAAGGTATGTAGCGTATTTTTTTGGTTCAGATTGCTTCATCCTAACGGGAGTTACAGCAGAATATTCGGGGCCTCTTTCGAGTGAATCTCCCTGTATTTATGTAAATAGTTGTTACTGAATGTTTCACAGCAATCAAGTTATAAAAAAAACCTAAACGAAAAATAATTAATTTCAAAAACTAATATTTCTTTGTACTTTCTTGCAACCACATTTTGATTCTTTGTAGTATTAAGTAGAATTAAGTTCTATCACATCTAGAAGTATTTTTGGCCCTGCATAGAAAGTGCCACAGACCCTGCTTAATATAGCTTCAGAGCTAAAAACCCACTAATTGAGATATTTTCACTGTATATTTTCCCAAGACGGAAGGGTGTGAATATTCATTGCAGATACATAAAAATTTAAAGATGTTATATTATTATGTCTTCATTTAATAATTTATTAAAAAAGCTAATTTTTCCTATTTCCTTTTCACTGGCTGTAATCTTACATTCAGTGGTTTTATTTCATAGGTAGATATTTGTACTATATTGATTTCAAGGTTTTCTATCTCTTTGTGACACCTATTGAGCCTGTGCTTCATTGCATTCAGGAAATTTGCAAGCTACAGCTTGTAATGGCTTTATTGTTTGCATACTAGATGATGTCATCTTGTTTACGTTATACACAGGAAAAGAGTTTAAATTCCTTGTGCTATTAGTTGGGGACTTCCCACAGCAGGCAAACCTCTCACTGTAAGATGCAAGTACTCATACCTAACAAACTGTATGGTCTGTAGGTCAAACATTCTCTCGAACAGCTGCTTGAGGAGACACCTGGGATGCTTTTCCAAAAGGCTTGAAGAAGATATACATATACTGAGACCATACATGTTTACTCCCCCATCTGCGTGATCCATATATGGAAACTAAGCTGCTAAATCAGCCCATTTTGAATTAGTTGTTTTTGTGATGTCACTAAAACAACATATATGAATTCAAGCCGAGGTTATAAGAAGTGTTTCCACCTGGACTGCTTTGTGAATGAGGCTCAATAAAAGGCAGCCAATCAGAATTGAGGTTATTTACATAAATCTGTCATAATGGCCTAATAAGAAAAACATCCTGTTTAATGGTACGGAGATGCATGTGAAATGGTCATGTTAAAATGAATCATGGCTGTTTTTGGTACATAAACCCACACAGATGTCATAAGTAGACCACAAGGAAAAAATACAGAACAAAAAATGTTTATGTAACTTATGTGCATCATTTTGTGTGCATTTTGCCCAGGGATCGGACGGTGAGCCTGGGATTCAGGGGCCTCGAGGAATTCAGGGCCTACCAGGTTTAAAAGGCCAAAAGGTGTGTCTTTCATTAATAATGTCAAAACAAATTGATCTTTATAAGTAATTATCTGTGAATGCTTATCAAGGCAACTCTGAATGCAAAAAACATTAACTCAGCATGATGCGATGGTTTGGCCAAAAATCTAATTTATACAGTTCCCCCTTACTCCAAAAGTAATTGATCAACTAAGACATGTTTGCTGTCCAAAGTTACTGGAGCTGCGAGGCTAATGTAGCTAACAAGCACAGGAAACCTATAGTCACCAATTAGCACCGTGCCAACCGAGACTTGTTAGTGGTTTTTGACACTGTATGACATAGTAATGTCTTAGAAGTGGACCAAAATATGCAGCATAGCTAAAAACGGTAGCTTAAAGCCTACTTTTGTTCATTTTTATAAAAACAGTGTCATGAAAATGTTTTGGCCCCTTCATGATTTCTTGTATTTTTGTCACACTTAATTTTTTCAGATATTCAAACAAAATTTGTTTTAAGACAAAGACAACCTGAGTAAAAACACAAGTTAATTTTTAAGTGATTCTGTCATTTTCTGAAGGAAAAAAGTTATTCAACACGCAACTGGCCCTGTGTGAAGTAATTGACCTCTTACTCAATCAAATAGCTAACCAAATTAAGTTGATGATTGGGATCAATTAAACTAGAGATGCCCAGGCTTGAATACTGCCAGACCTGTTGAATTTAAACAGAACTTAAACAGAACCTTAAATAGATCAAGCAGCACATTATACCACAATCAAAAGAAATTTTGGAGGAGATGAGAAAGAAAGTTATTGAAATATATCAGTCTAGGAAGGGTTACAAAGCCATGTCTAGGGCTCTGGGACTCCAGCAAACCACACTAAGAGCTGTTATCTGCAAGTGGAGAAAACTTGCAAAAGTGGCTGAATGTTTCCAGAAATGGCCAGCCTACCAAAATTCCTCCAAGAGCACAGCGATGACTCATCCAGGAAGTCACAAAAGAACCTAGAGGAAGATCTAAGGAACTGCAGGCCTCATTTGCCTCAGATAAGGTCAGTTTTCATGATTCCACCATTAGAAAAAAAGACTGAGCAAATATGGTGTCCATAGAGAGCTGCAAGGTGAAAACCACTGCTAACCAAGAAAAACAGCAAGCCTTGTTTCACATTTGCCAAACAACACCTTGAAGATCCCCAAGAAGGAATCGAAAGTGGAACATGTTGGAAGACAGAGGTCCGAGTTACATCTGGCGGAAAGCTAACATAGAATTCCACAATGAGAACAACAGTGAAACATGGTGGTGGAAGCATGAAGGTGTGGGGATGCTGTGCTGCTTCAGGGCCTGGGTGACTTGCCATGATTGACAAAACTGCTTTGTACCAAAAAAAATCCTGCAGGAACATGTCCGGTCATCAGTCCATGATTCAAAACTCAAGCACAATTGGGTTATGTAGCAAGACAGCAAATCTGAAGCACAAGAGCAAGTCCACCTCCACTCACATGTTCTTTGTTGTGTACACATAGGCATCCAAACTCATAGACATCGATGACCTGGCATGTGTGTATCTGTTAACGATTTCCTGTTGTAAGTCAGGAGACCCAGAAAAAAAAGAAAGACATGTCATCAGTTTTAAGTGAGCTTTTAATTAAAACTAAAGGAGGAAAATAAAATATACCACAGCCTCATTGAGATGCTGTGTCAGGACCTTCAAAGGGCAGTTTATGTTCCAAATCATCAGTTTCTCCAATGTAGCTGAATATAAGCAGTCCAGCAAAGAAGAGTGTGTCAAAGTTCCTCCACAGCAACGTGAAAGACTGATCCCCAAAAGAAAGCATTTGGTTGCAGTTGTTGCTGCCAAAGGTGGCACAACCTGTTATTAAGTAGGGGCAATTACTTTTACATTGTTGATATAGGCGTTGCAAAACGTTTTTCACTTCAATAAATGAAATAATCACTTAAAAACCGTTTTGTATTTCCTCATGTTCTCATTGTCTTACTTTACATTTTGAATGAGGATCTGAAACCGTTTAGTGTGACAACTATGGAAAAATAGGGGAAGTGTGCAATGTAGGCAAGCATTTTGCTTGATGCTAATTGAGAACATAAGCTTCCATTACTTGTTGGCTACATTAGCCTCGTAGCTCCAGTTCTAAACTAAAGAAGCAAATTCTGAAGAGATGTCTTAGGCAAAGTGTGTACATTTGATTTTTGTCAACCCATCATGGTAAAGTAGAGATGCATGATTGGAATCGGCAGATGTAAATAAGTTTGTGCTGTATTTGAATGACCTAACAAAGTATTGTAGCAGAATGTACTCTGAAGAGTGCTAAATAGCATGTAGCCTTTATCTGATTCATGTTAAATTAAAAGGCAACTACAGTTTATGTGGAAGTGGTCACACTTATGGTCAACTTACATGTTTTGTTATACAAGTTAAAACATATGAAACTCCAGAGATGATAATGAGTTAATTATCTTGTGATCTCAAGATAACAATCCAGAAAATCATAACTACCTCATGGCCTCTCTGGACTTTACGGAGCCCTGATGATGACATCCTGTATAAAGAAAAATAATGCCTGGCCACACCTTATTAACACGTAGGAACAAGATCCTAATGCATGGCCACAACGCTGTTATCTTGAAATAATGAGTTAGCTGTCTTGTTATCTCGAGATAACAAAAGTTGTTATCTTGAGATCACAAGACAACTAACTTGTTATCTCAAGATAAGAACTACAAATTAAAACATACTGAAGTCCTACAGAGCCCCGCAGGTGACATCCTGTATAAATAAAAATAATGCGTGGCCACAACTTAGTAAAACGTGGCCACGACTTAATCATCGCATTCACACGCCTTACTAAGTTGTGGCCACGCATTATTTTTATTTGTATAGGATGTATTTTTGTTATCTTGAGATAACAAGATAGCTAACTCATTATTTCAAGATAACCGCATTGCTATCTTGAGATAACAAGATAATTAACTCGTTATCTCAAGATAACAATCCAGAAAATCATAGCAACAGGTCATGGCCTCTCCAGACTTCTGTAAAAACATCCTCTACAGAGAACATACTTAAATATGGCATTTTTCTGCACATTTTAGTGCTCAATTTCTATTTATTTGACAATTAATTAATTAACTAATTTACACTGGAAAGAAATAAAACATAAAATTAAAAAAATGCATTTTTTGTTTTGTGTTTTCCTCAGTATGTTAAATTCAACAAATAAACTGTAATTGTGCATTAAAATGTGCAAAAGTGTGTTCTCTGTAGAGAATGTGTTCACTTATTTTCACTTAGACAGTCAAGAAAATACATACATTGACCAGGACGCCCAATTTTTTTGCACAGAAGGTTAATTGTTTGTTTGCTGTTTATATTATTTGTGTTGCAGCTGTGGCTAATAGGGAGGTCTGGAAAAGTGCTGGTGTTATGTGTTCATTTAGCCCACACATTATGTGCTTTGGGTTAAAAAAAGAGTGATAATAATTATAGGAAAATCAATGACAATTATTACAATTATTGTGTTAAAAAGCTTTTATTGGAACATGACTATGGACCAAAACTCTGTCAATACATTTCAGTGTGAGCCTCCATCAAGGAGAACAGTTTTTTTAGCTCAGTGAAGAGTACCGTGGATTTTTTTCTTAGGTTTGAGAAGCCCTGGCCATAGAGCACCTTTAATATTACACGTCGATTTTCCTACTAGCAGCACTCTTTATGTATCTATTTTTTCTACACATTGCTAAAAAAATTAGCCAAAAAAAAAGGATGAAAAGAAGCTGAGAATTGGCCTTCCAAAAGTCATGATCGGTGCATCCCTACTTTAAAAACGTATTGTATTTGTTCTGCATTCTCACAGCAGAAGTAATTGAGAATGAGTAATCATCACAGTCATTAATGCTGTGTGACCTTGTCTGTTTTCAGGGTGAATCTGGAGCGTCTGGGCAGAAAGGAAGTCAGGTACTGTGGTTGCTCTGCGGAGGGTGACGGAGTGTATGTGTGTTTGTGAGGGGGCAGTTTAGTCTCGTATGAGCCGAAAAAAGCAGCTCAGAGAGAAAGATGGAAACAGGGATAGAAAGTAAAAAAGAGAGAGGGAGAGAAAAAAGTTTCTTCATATAAAGCAAGAACATCTGAGCAGAATTAGCTTTAACAAGTCTTCTCCGCCAATGATTGGCATTAGCTGTTTCTCTAGCACAGACGGAAACTTAGTCACTTCTTTTAACCACAGAGCATGCATTAGTGCACGCACACACACACACACACATCCTTGGTTAGAGCAGGAAAGATGTGGATGCTGATATATATGGTGCAACCAATGTGGGGTCAAGAACGTGACCTTTGCTTGGCCTCTCACACATCCACACAGATGTAGTGCATAATGTAACATGGTCATCATTAGCCTTTAGTAAAACAGCCGTCTAGCACAGTTCACCACATACAACATTTCACACATCACCGTGTGTGAAAATGTGCTGAGAGCAGGAAAAAACAAAACAATCGAGCAAAGGAACATTTCAGTTTCACTTACTAAGATACTTTTGTCTTTCTAGGGACAAAAAGGCAGTGACGGATCACCTGGGGTACCTGGAACACCTGTAAGTAACCTACAACACATCTGATCTAAGAAAATTCTTCATTAATACAGAATTTCATACAGTTTCTGTGCCCAAACGTGCAACCCAAAGTGTGGTGTTTGATTGGACACTCATTCAATGAGAGAACAAACATATTTACACTAGATACAGTATAACTTAAATTTTTATTTTTCTTTTAAAGTTATTTTTGATGTGTTTTAGTAATAAAATACAGTGCATTGTTACAACATACATTTTTTAAAAACTCACTTTGAAACCTACACCTAAAAAATTACTGCAAAATTTGAGGCAAAAAAGGTAAAATACATGTAAATAAACCATACATGTTGTATTTTAACAGTACTGTTGTTAATTTACAAAAATAGACTTTAACTAGACAAAAAAAAATTATCACCATTATTTCACAGACACTTGCGTTTGTTTAATGATTGTAACTGTTATTGTTAAGGTAAAATACTGTATGTAAGAATAACTATTTGAACTAGCGACACTGGCTGCAGTATTTCTAAGAAATTAAACGACTGTCATTTTACAGATTTTTACCATCATTGAGAAAACATACTTTTCTGTTAATTAATAAGCTTTGTCTGGCACCCCGGCTGTTGGACTTTATACCATCTTTTTACAGATTTTTTACCTTCTTGCTTTGTATATTGTTTTACCTTTTTGGCCCTTTGCCAAAATCAATACTTAAAGCGATAGTTTGGTCAATTTTATCCTAAAATGTAAAAACTATAGGCTCAAATTGAACTGCAGTTGATCAGCAAAGACAAGAGATATTTGCCGTTCACATTTTGGAGCTACAAAACTAATGTAGCAAGCTAGTAATGGAAACTTAAAGCCACTGTGGGTATTGTACAAACTGCATGCTTAAATCATCATACACTTGCCTGGAACCATGTTAAGTAATCTCAGATAGGCTTGCTTATGTGGTTTCTGACCTTGTGATCTACAAAAATGGACAAAAATACATAGAATATGCCTTTAATTTTATCTATACTTTTGTCCATTTTTAAATGTGATTTAACCCAAGTGGTTCTCCATAACCCATCTTAGAATTTGGTTCAGGACCTCTTTATTTAAAAAATAATGTTTATGCTGTGCTTTATATGAATTTATATTGCACTTGATAGGCAGATAGATGTACTGAACTGTCTTCTCTCTTTGCAGGGTGAACCCGGCCCCAGAGGGAGTAAAGGAGAGGTGTGCATACTGAATGCAGCAGCATTTCCTGCTGATTCACAAACTAGGGGGGCTTTCAGTTTCTGTCATCTTTAGTGATATGTGGAGTTTTGATGTTAATAGTTCAGTTTATCACCTGAGTGATTGGTACCATGGCTACAAACAACACCTCTACATCAATGAAGAGATGTTCTGGAAAAATGTCTCTGATAGACCCATATACTGTAAAAGTTATGCAGATTTTAAATTAAAAAACTAAGTAACTGGGTTAACGTAGTCCATTAAACTTGTAATGATAAGTTCACAGAAGAATAATTTCTGTTTTACATTTGTTAACATTTGTTAAAGAGTGCAACATTTCAACTTACTTTTTTAAGATTAAAATGCATTCTTTTATAGCTACTGTTGCTAGATTGGACAAGTTTTCCAGAACATTGGCAAAAATCCCATTTAACCTAATGAGAGACTATAGCACATAACCTCTTGTTACTATTGTGTTGTGTTACTAGTTTCAAATGATATTTATTTTGTATGCATGTGAAAGATCACACTGTTCGGATAGATTGGGTGTATTATTTTGTTGTGTAATGAAGCTAATCTTAGCACAATGAACCATTTTGTTAGTGCATTACAGGTTCACATTGGGTTGAATGGCATTTTTGCCAATGTATTGTAAACTTTGTTCAAACTCTCAATATGTCAACAGGTCAAATGGTCTGAAAATGGACCATATTATTTTTTTATGACCTCTCTCTTTTCTCTCTGTCTCTCCCCCCCCACCATCTCTCACAGCGAGGTACAGCTGGGGATCCAGGTATCAGAGGGGCTGATGGAAAAATGGGAGACATGGGACCGATGGGACCAGCAGGGCCAAGAGGCTTCCCGGGTCAGGACGGGTTGCCAGGACAACCAGGGGTCCCAGGTTACCCAGGGAAACCAGTGAGTGACATTTTTGTGGGAATCCCTGTACTTCAGGAGTGAGGGACAAGGTAGGGTACTGTAACATGACAGAGCCAGTCAGACGCTCGTGGTAAAAAAACAATAGATGAGGCTTTAATTGAAAAGGGATTGGCAAGAATCGTAGTGGTAGTACAGGCGTAGGTCAACTCCAAAATAGCAAAAACGCAAAAGACTGCAAATATTACCAGAAGGGCAAAGACAAAAAGGCAGTGACAAGAAATCCAGAAATAGAGTCAAATACACAAAAACGGCAACCAATAACACACAGAAAACGCTCAGTAGTTCTACAAGAGAAACAATACCTTGCAACTATTCTAGTCTAAGGCCTGGGCTTATATACTAAACTATAGCTAGTCATGTGATAAGCAACACAGGTGTAGTGAGTTAGTATTCAGGAAAACTGGAGCGATGTTTGGTTGAATGAGGAGGTTCAACGGTCACAAGGGGTTATGGGAAATGGAGTCTCTGTGCAAGTCGAGGCTGGATGGATGCGTGACAGGTACTGAAATTGGTTTCTCACAAATCACTGACCGAAACATATCAGTGCTGATATTCAGAACTAAAACGCTTAGTATGGAATTGAAAACAAAATTATTACAAAAGTATTACTTTTTCTCAGAAACTTGGTTTAAAGCAGGGCTGCCCAAAGTTTGGTCTGTGGGCCAAAGTTGACCCAAGACGATTTTGATTTTGTCCAACCCCTCTATTTTTCTTTCAAAGTTGTATTTTTCAATTATTTTATGAACAAAATTTAGTGTAATGTTATAAAAAACATTTTTAAAGACTTGATTTGAAACCTGCCTGCCTTCTTTATTTGTATGTTGTTGTCTTTTTGGCCCTTGGCTCACCACAAATGAGAATTAAGAACTAATATTCTTAGATTATGAAATGGTTTCAGTGTCTCCTTTGTTTTTTTTTTTTTCCTCCAAGTTAATGTTTACTTTTCACTTTTTTTTATTGACAGGACTGTAAAGGCTAAACAGATAGTGGTGTCTTTTCTATACTAGGCTATTAAGAATGAAAGTGTGCTCTCATGCAAAGAAGGTGTTTAAAAAAGTATGGTTTTGGTATCAGTATCAATTTCAGGGTACTGGCACTGCTCCCTGCATTGAAAATCTGCAAGCCACAGTGATTAATCTGCAGCGTTTGATGTGTGTTTCAGGGAAAGCCACCTTCAGAGGAACACTTGATGAAGATTTGTGCTTCAGTGCTGCAGAGTATGTTTTCCCATTTCACTCTCCTTTCCCTTATGAACTGATGCTTTCCTTTGGCCAAGTTTTGTGTAATATCAAGTCTTAGCTGTTTTGCCAAACCTTGACCAGGCCTTTCTACAGGAACCACATCTCTACACAAATGATTGTTACTACCTGTGTTCATGTGACACTCCATGTTGTACATAATTGACCACGCACAACTCGAGACTCTTAACTGAATAAAACTGCCTCTATGTGTGGTCAGTTGGCTGTGAGTCACTACGTACTATGATTGCGTATGTGAGCATGATGGCTAAAGTCACAAAAGTCAGTGTTACTATGTGCACTGAGCTGTCGGTTAGCTGCCCACTGGAAACATCTGGAGAGATGGGAGAAGCAGTGAAGCTTTCAGTTCTTCATTTTAGAGAAAAAAACACAAATCTGCTTAACGGGTGCAGTTGCCCAATCCCTGTGTCTCAGCACGATGGGCTATTTTTGATATCCATGATTACATCGTCTCAACCAAAATCTTTATACCCAAACAAAGTATCAGTGTTAAAGGCCTACAGCAGAAACAAACTGTCGTCATTTTGGAATACTTCACTGGGAAATGCTGAGGTGACAAACCATGAAGTCGGTGAACATGATCCAATTTGTATATTTTCTTCAATTTTATTATTAGTTATTTTAACTTTAATTTCATGACTAGCTTTTGCAGTGTTAGCTTCTCTGGGTTAAGTGTTTCGTTAGCATGTAAGATTATCTTCAGTCCACAGCTCAGAGCAGCATTTTAAAAGTATTAGTGCTTGTTTAAACATTATCCAAAAGCTTTGCTTAGAACACAAACCCAAAAACTTCCTTTTGAGAAATAAATTACTTGTCAGTAATTCATCCACCCTCAACAGATCAACTGCCACAGCTCCTTCAGGTGATGTCACCCACTAGCTGTCAACACTGTGAGATGGTCAAGGGACCCCCAGGTAATCCAGGCCCCCCTGGACCCCAGGGCCCAAGTGGACCTCCAGGCTATCCTGGCAGGCCCGGGTCTCAGGGATACCCAGGACCACCAGGAAGTAGTGGACCTCAGGGCATGAAAGGTAAGAACAAGAAAGCACAATCTTTCTCATAAAGGATTTCTGTATAGTCGATAGGGTGATAATGTGATTACATTAAACAGATGGACTAGAAGTAAATCTTTTATTTCTGTCATATCAGCCTTTGTAGTTGTGATTAAAATTCAACTGTGATTGTTGTTATAATCAGCAAGAGTGAACTGTGGGAGTGAATGCAACACTGATGTATATAACGTTACCTTGTGGACAGTGTGCCTAAAATTCAATACTACCCTTATGTTACAGGTGACATGGGGCCAATGGGCATGAAGGGTGCTAAAGGACAAGGTGACATTGGGTTGCCAGGTCCACCTGGCCCACCAGGTACAATAGATTTCCATCTCAGACGCAAATACTACGTAAAACTAATAGAACACACTTGTTGCTTTGTATCTTTGGAATGGAACTCTTTTAAAAGAAGTTCTTAACTTGTATGTAACAAGTCATTTTGAACGATTTAATTTAATGGGTTGCTAGTAGGGGAGCGGGAAAAAAACGATTCTTAGATGCATCGCGATGCGGACGTGCACGATTCTGAATCGATTCATTCAACCTCAAAAATCGAATTTCTAATTATTTAATTTATAACGTAATGTTGACGGAACACAAAGGGCGGAACTTGGAAGTTCGGAAGTGCAGCGCCCGGACAGTCTGTGGCGGCACACAACAAAAACACAACGGGATAAGCGAGAAATCCGACCGGCTCCCTCTGCATTACAAGCCAGGTCAGGTCAGGAGTCACAACACAAATGATAAGAAGAGACATTTTGTCCTTTCAACAATAATTTACCACCTTGGGAGCCACAACATTTAATGTCCAGTATGTCTCAGGGTGTGTTAATGTCCTAGTATATACTAAACAATATAAACGAAAACGCAGACTTACTCTACTCTGCTTTGAGCTTTAGCTATAGCCGCTTTTCTTCCATCTCCGCCAGAAAACTTTTCCTCAAAAGTTGAATAGTTTCTTGTAAAATGTCTTTCAGCTATCGGCTGTTTTACGAGGCTGAAGTCGCTTCTCATTCTCCAGCTTCTTGCTGAACTTTCCCGTTCCACCTTAAATTCTGACTTTTAGTGTTTGACAGTCTCTCGTCGCAGATTTAACGTATCAGGAAACCAACTACGTTGTTTATAAATGCGAATAAGTCCATTCGTCTCCAAACGTTCGTCTGTCTTTCTCTTTTCCTTTTTCAATCTCAGTCGTTGCGAAACAGGTCTTTCTCGCTATGTTGCACACGCCCCACACATTTTCTCCTTTCATAAGGAGGTTGCACGTTTATGGCCTGGTGTAACAAAAATAGTTGATAGTGTCAAAAGTTGACATAATAAGCTTAAACTTGCACGCGCAGAACTTTGTACACACACAGTGTACATGTGACTAAATTTGCATAAGAAGTTGACACTTGCCTGTAGAGCAGTACAGCCAAATGTTTTATTTAGCTAGGCTGGAGAGGAAGACGGTATAGTATGGCAAGAATTTAGCTAGCTGACATGGAGCCAAAAAAAAGACTGCTCGATTAACTTTACATTTTGAATTGCGGCCATTAAGAATCATTTTGTCTGAGAATTGCTGTAACATTATCAGTCATCCATCCAATAGGGCTGTACAACAGATTCAGTAGTATAAAGGAAATCAGTGGTAAAATGTGACAAAAAACACCATAAATAGTTTGCAGGATTTGGCTCAAAAAAACACACTTTTTTTAACACACTTAGCTTTTATTGGCTACTGTGCGTGCACATTTTCACAACGTTCCTGTTTGTGGCTTAACTTGTAAGCTTATTGGCTCATTTTTTTTGAAGGGCGTGTTGAGCGTTACAAGCTTTCTCGTTCATGTTCCAACCAGTGAACAGTCTCCTCGTATTATAATGTCTCTTCCAGTATGTAACCAGATCCATCCTGGTGATATATTCAATCACAATGGTTGGTAAACTGTTATGGAAGGGCTGAAAGATGAGGCGAGTGTTGGGATTGGCCCAGCAAGTTCTACCTCTAATATTGGTAGAGTCTAGTCATGCCTCTGCCCTGCAGTACGGTAGATGGTAATTGTGATGGTGATCTTAAAAATAAATGAAAAATGGTGCTATGAGGTTTTGATATGACTGTGATGATAATCTTCCTCTGTTAAATTGGCCATTAGATCTGTAAAAATGATTTCTTTCCTCACAGGTATGCAGGGTCCTCAGGGAAATGAAGGAGAGGGATATCCAGGACCCCCAGGGCCTGCTGGGAAGCCTGGCTCACCCGGCATCCCAGGCAAACGGGGCCCTCCAGGAGCCACAGGGGTTTGTGATCCGTCCTCCTGTTACCCGGCATACGGTCTCCAGGACAACCACTTCATCAAAGGGCCTAACTTTTAGCACACTGCCTCTCTGGCCTTTATTCTGAACCCGTCACAGTGATGATGGTTTAAGAGGCCTACAACCACTTCCGGAGCTCCATTTTGACTCTGTATTGACTTTCAAGGGTTCCTGGCCTCAACTTCCATGTTCGTAGCCCCAGTAGAGGGCAAAACACCCGAAATGACCAATGTATTATTTTTTTTTTCCAGGGAATTATTTGTTATACCTTATATTAACCTACCTGTCTGAAATGAATTCCGTGTATTAGTTTTTACTTGAGTTACATGTACTACTTCTTATTCTTATCTAGAATGATATTTATAATCTAGTGTAGCAGATATTTTTGCTTTTTTGGCAGCCTTTAACATCCTAATAGTATGTGCAGTGTGCAGTGCAGTACATGAGAGTACATCAATTTTAAACATTAATATCAGATATAGTCGATCAGCAGAGACATGTTTGGTTTCCAAATCTGATTTAGTTTAGCGCTGGAGCGACAGGGCTAGGCTAACGTAGGTAACATTCACTAGTCATCCAAATCGTTTCTGAAAATAGATCCCCAAACCATCTCTCAACCTGTTCAAACCGCATACAGGTCTTCATTAAGGTCGTGCACACTGTTGATGTGGTTTGAAATCCAATACAACTTAGTGTGAGGTGTCTGACCACTGCGTTTAGCCACACTGTGAAGTTTTGTTCATTTTTATAGTTCACAGTAAGTCATACTGTTTCCTAAACCACATCAGTGAGACTGCACAACCTTCATGAATTTGTGAGCAAAGTTTTGTGCCTGTATTTGGACCATTTTAACAAACTGGTTCAAAGTCAGAGAACACATTTCAGACTTTTGACTGACTTTCTACTGAACTTTAGACTAAAATCCTCTTGCTTTGAATGACCGCATACCCTAATTATGTTTATTTTATTAAAATAAATGAGTGGGTGCTTCAGTAGTGACAAGTTTAGCTAATTTTACGCATGTTCTAAGAATGCTAGCCAGTACATGACTAGCAACAACAGCTTATAAAGAATTATAATATGTAAATCATATAAAATCATAATATTTTTCAGTAAAATAGTTTACTTAATTGCAGAAAATGTGTTTTGGTAGTGACAGTTCTTAAGGTCACACACTGATTTGCAGACTTTGGGACACTTTTATTTCAAAACAATGGGGTCTAACTGCTCACCATGTAGCCATGAGGGGCAGGGATGCAGTCTCACTTACTGCTCTAAAATACAGGGGTGTGGCTAAAATAGGGCTCCACCTATGGGCTAAAACTCCTTGTTGTTTCAGTAGTGACGTGAAAATGTGGGACAACATTTATCGTTTATTTATTTATTCATTTTAAAAATTAACCTCATGTTAAATCTTAATATTTTAACTTCATGTTAAAAGATCTTTTTTAAAACGACATTGAAAAGAAAAACAACAAAGACATTAAGTAATACTTTCACAAGTTAAAATTTAGGGGTACTCCCAATAGAAAGTCACCTTTAAATGGTAATTTTGTATATATTTAGCTTATTACTATCTCAATTAATGCTAGGGGTTTAAATAAATCATAATATAATCCTTATAAATATCTATGGTCTGAATACTTATTATTTTTTTACTGTTGGTCTGCAGCTTGAACTAATTCAGTAAAATTGTCCATTTATGGAAAAAAAATTGGGTGACTGTTGGCTTCTGTGGTTTTTGAGCTACGCTAGCCTCATAGCTGCAGCGCTAAAGCAAAGAAGCAAAATCTGGGCACCAAACATGTCTTGGATGATTAAGTCAAGTAGTTTCAGCAGAAAAACAGGACGATAGGAAGAACTTGCTGAGTAAAGAAGGTACGTTTCATTTTGAGTAATTTGGCAGCAGTCCACAGTGTGTCTGCCCACAATACCATTTGTTTTAATGTCACATCGGTGCTCTCAAAGGAGAAAAGGTCTTCAATCTGTAAATAGACCTACATTTGCACTGCCTTTGAAAAGCTACCTCTGTACTAGTAGTGATGTATCTGTGTTTGTTTGCTAGATTGTAACACTTTTGAGTGTTGTTTCACTCCTGTTGTTTGTGTAGATCTCTGGTTTCTGAAAACACATTCAAAGTCCTTTATTTAATGTGGGATAGGCTGAAATCTGAGGTTTACTGTACTTCATCTCTTGTGTGTGTTGTGGACTACTACATTTGATTTTTTGATTTCTTTTTTTTTGAATGTTTGAACAGTTCTCTGGAAGTCACTCGTCCCACCACCTCAGCTGTGTGGTTTGGAAGTGGTTTTGTCAGTCGTGTTGGTCACCCTTTTGTGCTTCAACTGGAACTATCAGTAACTCGTGTTTATTTATTGCCTCATTTTAATGCATGGACTCTTGTGATAGCCATGAATGTTTTTTTTAAAGAACTTCTTTGTTGGTTGACTTTTTTTCTTGTTTCCATTTATGTACTCATTGTGTTGTTTACATTTGAACTGTTTAAAAGTAACATTGATTAAATACACCTTTTTAATTCCTTGTAAGACTTTTGCTGAGGTTTTATTTCATGTATATGTTGATGACATAAGCTCTACACCCAGTAGTGTAATTGTAGACTATGTTGATCTGTCTTTGTCTATGTGCTACACAATATTTTTTTTCAACTGGCAGATCAGAAGAGAAAGCTGAATTAAGCTCTTCCAATGAAGTAGCCTGCAGTTCCTCTTTTGGGTGGTGTGACGGCTGTGCTACTTGTCGAAGCGTCAAGTCTCTGTGTTAGTCTGATGAAAGCCACTGAGAGTTTCACAGCTTGGCACAGCAGTTCTCTCCAAGCTCGCTGAGAATCACTTTTGTGTGCGCAGTGTAGACTTCAGACCCTTAGGGTCTGCTGAAACTAAGCCACTGCGTTTTTCTCTGTGCTTTAACAGGGACATTTTCCTTTTTCTCTTCATTATTGCTGGACTTTTCCAACTCACAGCCATGGACCCCTATGAGGACTTCTTCAGCAATGACACCGAATATGGAATCACTGAAGAATACATCACGGACGAGGAAGTGCCTCTGTGCATGAAGACCGACGTGAACCACTTTGGTGCCCATTTCATTCCAGCTTTCTACTATATGAACTTCTTGCTAAGCCTCTTGGGCAACAGCCTGGTGCTGTGCATCATCTACAAGTTTGAAAAGTTGGGCACAGTCACCAACATCTTCCTGCTCAACCTGGTCATCTCGGACTTGCTCTTTGCCACCAGCTTGCCTTTTTGGGCCGTCTACCACAGCTCTGATTGGATATTCGGCCGCTCGCTCTGCAAACTAGTGGGCAGCTTGTATTCGGTAGGTTTCTACAGCTCCATCTTGTTCCTCACCCTCATGACCTTCGATCGCTACTTGGCCGTGGTGCATGCAATCACAGCTGCCCAGAGCCGCCGGAGAGTGTACGCGTTCGCCTCGTCCGGAGTTGTCTGGTTCCTCAGCATCCTGGCTAGCATCAAAGACATGGTCCTTTATGATGTGCGGGACAGCAAGACGGAAGGTCGTCTGTGCGAGGAGACCGGCTATGCTCAAAAGACCATGGTCAAATGGCAGCTTGTGGGCTACTACCAGCAATTCGGCTTGTTCTTCTTGCTGCCTCTCATTATGGTCTTCTATTGCTACGGCCGGATCACCGTCCGCATCGTCTCCACGCGCATGAGGGAGAAGTGTAGGGCCGTCAAGCTCATCTTCGTCATTATCCTCACCTTCTTCATATGCTGGACGCCCTACAATGTGGTCATCCTCCTGTTGGCAGTCAAGCTTTCCTCCAGAGACAACTCGTGCTCGGACGGCCTGGACTACGCGCTGTACATCACACGGAACATTGCCTACCTGTACTGCTGCATCAGCCCGGTGTTCTACACCTTCGTGGGGAAGAAATTCCAAAGTCACTTCCGCAAACTTCTGGCCAAGCACATACCGTGCCTGAAGATAACCATCCTGTCATCTCAGAGCAGCAGGACCACATCGTTCAAGAGCCCCAATACAGACTACTAGTGACCAATGAAACTCAATAATCTGGTTTGGGTTTTTTTTGGTTTGATGCTGCACTGATTCAGAATATGAACAAGTCTATAGCGCGATTGCTTTGTGTTGGGGGTGTCGGGTCCCCTGGGACAAAAATGTTGTAACAGATATGAGGTTTTTGCAATTTTAAAAGAACGCCTTTTCATGTGTGTTCTTCTTTGAGTGGAAGCTGAGTCAGAAAAGAAAAAGGAAGTTGGGTATTGAACCCACTCTTGAGTGTATGCCTTGTTTCTGTGGTTGACGCTGGGTATTTAACATAGCAGTAATTAGCAGCTTTAGATTATTCAGCAGATCTCTGTAGAACATACGTTAAATATACAGACTACTAGAAAAGATATATGCATTAGTTTTGTGTTTTTTCTATTTTTTTCATCAGGGGTGTCCAATCTTATCCACAAAGGTCTGGTGTGGCTGCAGGTTTTCACTCCAACAAAGCAGGAGATCATCTGATCAGCAATTTGAAGCCCGAAACCGACTGAGTAAACAGGGGGAAATCAGGTGTGCTCCAGCTCATTTTGAGGGAAAACCTGCAGCCACACCGGCCCTTTGTGAATAAGATTGGACACCCCTGTTTTACATCTCACTATTTTGTTGTTAAGTAAAAAAAAAAAACGGAAGCTGTCTGATATGTCTTTCAAGTTTGCAGTGAAATACTGATTTGGGGTCAGACTGGTCAGAGTGGAGAAGTCAGAGAAGATGTCCTTTCTGGTAAATAAAGTGCATCAGCATTATTGATTCCTTGACTCTCTGTACCTATTTTTATAGCATATTTTCTGCAGATATATGCATGTGTTTGTTTTTTCAACCTGGTTATGGGCATGCTTATAGAGCTTAACCACATCCGCTGAATATTTTTACAAATTTTTTTTTCACACACAGTGTGGTTAAAAGCAGTCTTTTAAGCAGTGTTTGAAACCTACAGACCACAGTATCCTGGGGAAAAAGCCAGAGCCTTCAATAACATTATTAACCTATGTCAGTGCTGAAATGTTTCCTTAACCTATGTGTGTAGTTAGGTTTACATCAAAAAAGGGAAAAAAGTGTGTCTTTACAAATTTTTTCTCAGTTTTACTGTTATATGTAATCATGTGCAATTTGTATAGATCTGTGCTTTCCTGAGTATTTTCAAGAGATTAAACCCTTTTGTTTTCTAAGCATTTGTGAAGAAAGCAATCTACTTTTTACTCAGTACTCAATAATAATCATTAACATTCAGCTACAAACTCATTTGTTTGTGTTTCATTTCTTTATATTATAATGTGTTATATATACACTTCTCACATTCGAGCTTTACTATTTCATCTTAGACTAAAAGGAACCAAAAAGAGAAGTACAAAGCAGTTTCTACGCTGACAGGTGCTGGATATAGTTCCATGGCAGTTCTGTCAGGAAGTATTTTGACCTGGGGTTGGATTCACGAAAGCTTTGCTAAGAAACAAATTGCGAAGGTTCTTATGACAAACGCTACTATGTTCATAACATTGGGCCTCATTCACCAATATCTTATTAAGTTTTTTCTTAAATTAGTTCTTGAGAGTTCTTGGTCCTAAAAAAGGCTACATCAGATTTATCACGTGTTCTCTAACCACAGAGTTGTTCACACCTTTGTGCTCTTCAGTGTGTGTAGATTCTGTTATTACCTAAGAACAAATCTCAAATAAGAAAACACTGGTGAACGTCAGAATCTTCGTGAAAGCTGCGTAAGTTTAAGAGGAAATTTTGTTGAATGAGGCCCAATGTTCTTAAAACAGTTCTCAAGCATGTTTTCAAATATTCTCTTTTCCATAGAAAATATTACTTGTTTTTTTTTATGTAGGGTATCAATAGCTTGTTACATTTCACAGCCTACTATAATGACACTTTTTGAATTTCAGCCCATGCCTTCAACATAGTATGAGGGAAGATTGAGTGAGGGAGGGGGGAGAACTCTGAGAACTTGGGCTGGATTTCTAGGCAGCTTCTGCCTGTAGCCTGAAGGCCAGACCCCCTTATAGCTGTAGTAGGACTGATGTAGGACTGAGGAACTGGGAGGAGATGGGGTGGCGGTGGGGTTTGCGAACACGTCGTTATGGTAATGGAAGGTGAGGGTGTGAATTTATAGGGCGTTAGATTGGAAGAAGGAGGGGTTTCAGCCATGTTCCTCCCCCCAAACCTCAGTTATAACATGACTACATTTTGGATTACTTGTTCTTTCTGCTGACTCTGCTGGTTACTGGGCCTCATTCACCAAGCATTCTTAAGATTAAATCTCTTCTTAAAACCCACTTACACAGTTTTCACGAGCATTCCACCAATTGTTCACGTTTCACCAATGTTTTATATTTGAGATTTTTTCTTAGATAAGAACAGAACCTACACACACCCAAGAGCTCAAAGGTGCGAACAACTCTGCGGTTTAAGAACCCGTCATTAATCTGACGTAGATGTTTTCTTAGGACCTTTCTCGAGAACACATTTAAGAAAAAACTTAAGTAAGATATTGGTGAATGAGGCGCTATGAGTCTAATCCACTCAGCACAACAAAAATCAAACAAACTATCTAACAAGCATTAGGAAATAGGAAAAAAGTGGTCTATTTTAAAAATTACATTTTGTGGAACAAATAGGACGTTACAGTTTTAGAGGCCTACCTTGTCAACTCTTACAGTATAGGACAGCTGAGATGCTGCCGTAAAGTTAAGAAGAAATCTAAGAACATTGGGCCTCGTTCATCAAAATCTTCTTAAGTTTTTTCTTAAATTTGTTCTTGAGAAAGAACCTAAGAAAAAGTCTACGTTAGATTTATGATGTGTTCTTCATCCACAGAACTGTTCCCACCTATTTTCTCATAACAATAAATCCCATTGTCCTCATAGGTAGCCTATATGCCCACCAGTGCCCATAAAAGGGCATTGTACTGCACACAGGGAAAAAACACAGACAGAAACTGCAAACCAAAGCTGAGTGAGAAGTGAAAAACGCTGAAATAAAAAAAAATAAAGAAAATGGAGTATTGGATTCTCAACATAAGCAAAACTTTACAAGTTCTGAAGTGGAAGTACTGCTGTGGGAAGTGAACAGCAGTAACATTTTCCCTGCTTCCAACACACCTGAGCCAACTAATCAGCACATTAACAGCTCATTATAGGTTAAAGAGGCTGTGTCCTGCCCTCAGTTAAGGCAGGGAAAGCATTAAAATGCACAGGACAGTGGGCCTCCAGGACCAAGCTTGAGAAACACTGTCCTAGGCCATGTCCTGTCTCAGAGTCAGAAGGTAAGCTTGTTTTTCAGAATTAATACAATTTGGCGGTACATTTATCTAAAAGCTGTACCTGATAACATGTATACAACTTTGTAAAACCTAATGGTGGGTGATTATTTTTGTGTCCATGTGTTTAAAGTGTTTAGTTTGTACTTTTTACAGACAAAACATTTCAGAATTGAGACCCCAAAAGTAAAATGTCACAACTATGGTTTATGTCATTTATTTACAGATGAACTCCTGCTGCGGCCACCACCCTCTGAGACGCAACCTGACCTCAGAAATGGGCCCGGACTAACAAGTGAGAATTGCCCAAACACTTTCACAGGTAGCCTCAACACTGACCACAATCTTGGAAACACTTTTAAAGAAATTTCGACATGTCTAAAATAAGGAAGATTTACATGAAACCTGTTTCAGAATCAACAAAAATGTATAAATAATCACACTGTAAAAGCTGAATTCATTTTAAACCCTATTTTTACAAACCAGCAATTAACTGCTGTCAAACTTGGGCAGCAGATCTGTTGTGTGGTGCCAAGAGCAGGTCAGGACACACATCCTCTTGTTGCTGTGGTGGCTCAGGGGGAAGTGGTACACCGCATTTCATGGCAGAGCTGTGCAACACACAGCAGGCCATGATTACCCTCCAAACTTAAAATGATAAAAAGATGCCTGAAGATGATAACATGCAAAAGGTTATGGCTGAGGTCGTCTATAGACCCTCAAATGTTTCTGCAAGACTAAAACAATTTCTCAGCTGTTCTCTTTATACACACCTTCTCCGGTTTGTAAAGCAGCTTGCCACCTGCTGTGTCCAGACACATCCAGCGTCCTTTTAAGATGCCATTGGTGTGCTCAATGGTGGAGTGAGTATGTGCGTGCTGCTGATTTTAGGACACCTTCTGGTCAGTTTGAGGGTTGGTGAGTGGCGTCACTAATCAGGGGGCCAGGGCATATTATCAATCTCCCAATAAAACAAGTCATTAAAGACATAGAAGCCCACTGTTGCTGGAATTTATAATTACTAAAAGATTAGATTTACAAAAGATTTATAATTACTAAAAGCGTATGTGCCATGAGTCTCCAGCAGCTCCTTGTTTGAGGCACATACCCAAAGAACTGTTTTGTAAAATGTAGGGGTCGTGTGCACCTCCTGGGAAGCAGGAGGCCACATTCAGAAGTCACAGATGAGTTGTACATTTATGGAGAGATATCTCTTGTGGTTCGGATATGGGAGTGGATCTGGAGAGGGTGTCTTAATGTGAACGTGAGTGCAGTCTGTCGCGCTGATGGTGTTGGGTAGACCAGCAATTGAATGGAAGCCTCTTATGACCGGGACCTGTGCTTCTGCTGAATAGGGGAATTGTACTGATTGTGTGGCCAATTGATTTATCCCATCCACAACTCATGGGAGAGCATGACCAATGGATGCCTGTGATATGCCCACCCTGTCTCCTCTGAAATGTCCTAGTGGCTAAAAAGCCCAAGGTGGACAGTACCTGCATGTGTGGTGGTACAGGGTTAGACCGTCTGGTATGGCTCCTCAGTGCTGGCTCCAAACCATTGCAAAGCTCCACGAGGACAGCTCTTGGGAGCCTAAAGCGTCCCAAGAGTTACTCGTCACTCTCTGCAAATAGATCTATGTGGTCCTGGAATATGCGTATGGAATATGATCTGTAACATCTTAAAGCAGCAGTAAACAAGCTATCAGACCTAGGAAGCAAGTAGGGCTAGGATGCAGAAATAGGCCTACTTTGGGCCATAAAAATAGCATGATCAATCACTTATTATTGGATGGCATGGTTCCCAATTAACATAATTGATGTCAATTGAAGTGCTAGTGTAGTGTTTATTTATATTTAAAGACCATAATGCTTTGTGCAATAATGAAAGAAAAAAATGCAAATATAATAAATGATGAAAAAAATAAAACAATATACAATATTATACAACGGTAGAATTGAACAAAATGCATTAACCAAGGATTTTGCACAAACACATGAGCACTCAAATGAGCAGAAGTGTGCTTAGATTCCTTTCTTACCCAAGAACAAATCTCAATTAAGAAAACTGCGTAAGACGCGTTTTGTTCTTTTGACACTTTTACTCCCACCTGAGTCATTATTTCACAGAAATACCAGTACCTTCTGGGGTTTGGCTTCTTTACACATCTCTGAGATGTAGATATGAATGAAGCTATGAAATGAGTAAAGAGCTTCGTTGAGTGCTGCGTTGGCCAAAAGAGGCCTGAACACTAACCGATAGATGTCGCCAGCGAGCAGCCTCTTCTACCACTCGTACCTGGAGATTTTGTTCAAACAGCTTTACTGACTTTTTAAGCTGAAAATAACGAAGGAAGTGCGTGAATTAAGAAAGCTGAGGTAAAATACCTTCATCTCCGCTGCTCTCAGTTGTTTTTCGGCTTCTCTACAATCGACGATAAGCACACATTGCTGTTTGACTGTTAGCGTCACCCAGTCAACCGACCAAT